TGGCTCAGCCAGTAAGGGTACTTGCCATCAAGTCTGAAAACCTGAGTTCAATCTGTGGGACCCATATGGGAGAGAGAAAGAACCAACTCCTGAAAGTTGTCCTACACATGTGCCATGCCACATATATATCATACCACACAAGCACACAAACACACAAATAATAAACAAAAATAAAAAAGAATAGTCAGAGAAGTAGTAAGGCTTCTTCAAAAATCATTTAATGGTCACTCTTCACAGTGGCCATTTCTCAACTCTGGGAAAAACTCACTATGACATGATGCCAAACTAACCTTCCAGCTTTCAGAGCTATCTGAAATCAAGTGTGTTTCTTGAGACAAAGTTTCACTATATAGCCCAGGTTATCCTGGAACTTACAATCTTCCTGCCTCAGGCTCCTGTGTGCTGGGATCACAGGCACATATCACTCTAACTTCAAAAGACTCTTGTGACACTGAGTAGATCTGCTTAGTTGCAGAGATCTGACTTGAGTATGTAGGGCATACAAGAAGAGAGGCAAGACAGAGGTTATAAGAATATGCTTTTAGTTAAACTGCCTGGTCTAATTTGTGTGTTGCTTTTTATTAGCCATATCACCAGAGGCTCAGCAAGTAAAGGTGCTTTCCACCAAGCCTGCCAACCCGAGTTCAATTCCTGAAACTCACATGGTAGAAGGAAAGCATTGACTCCCATCTCTACACACACACTGTGGCACACACGTGCACACAAATAACAAATAAAATGTAATTTTTTTTAATTAAAAAGAGATTTGAAAATAACCTTGTAAGAACACACACAGAATACACTCTGGGGAATGACTTCAATAAAGCAAGGCACTCTGTAACTGGCACCAAGGGGGACCAGAACATGCTGCCCCATATATGCCTATTTGGCATCAGGATTGCCTGGGGGCTTTAGGCAGATGCAGAACAAACACTCTCCTCACTGTTTGCCCAAGTCAAAGTCTACACAGCACATGGGTAATCTCAGAAGACTGATGTGCCCCTTATCAGCCTGCAGGGGGCACTAGAGGGGACCACATTGAAAAGCTTCACAGACCAGGCCCCGTTTGTGGCTCACCTCCAAGCTGCCACTCCTGAAGATCTAAAGTCCTCTTGTCTAGGCACCTCTCTAAAGATGTACTGTTCTTTGTTGAAGATATTATGTGAACTGTACTCAAAGGCATCCCTTTGAGAACTGCTTACTCTCTGGGTCTCTCCCATGCACTCACCAATAAACTTCTGCTGTTTTTTCTCTTGTTAATCTGTCTTTTGTTAAAAGAGATCTTTTCCAACTGAGAACTTATTAGGTTGGGGGCTAGGGTGATGGCTCAGTGAGTAAAATGTTTGCCATGCAAGCAGGAGAACTTAAGTTCAAATCCCCAGCACCCACATAAAGCCTGGCATGTTTGTGTATGTTTGTAATCCCAGAACTCCTACAGGGAGATGAGAGGTAGAAACAGAAAAATCCCCAGAAGCCACGGGCTGCACAAGAGCAAACAAGACACCCTGTCTCCAACAAGTTGGCAATGTTCTGTGACCTCCACACGTGCTTCGTGACACATGGTGCCCACATTCACACAGAGGAACACACACACACACACACACACACACACACACACACACACACACACATCATACACAGATTTTTTTTAAAAAAAGAACTTGAGAGTTTGAGGGAAAAATTACTTTTTCTCCCTACAACACTGTCTCTTAATATGAACTGTCAATTTCTTCCTACTAAGAATATGGCAATAGAACTTTATCTCTACATTAAATCAGTAGCTGCTTTGTGAATGATTATGGCTTTTTATAAAATGCTTTAAATAATCACAGCAAAGGAAATATGCTACCAAGCCAAGCCCGTTTATTTACCACTCAAAAAGGAGCCCCAAGGAATTAAAAACAAGTTGTTGGAGCAAGGAAAAAAAGATTTCCAATGTCCTGAGGGCTGGTGAGATGGCTCAGCAGTTAAGAGCACTTGCTGCTCTTGCAGATGACCCAAGTTCAGTTCCTAGTACCCACGTGGCAGCTCACAACCCTCCAAAACCCCAGTTCCAGGGGATCTGCTACCCTCTTCTGGCCTCTGCAGGCAATGAAAAGATATATCCAGAATATCTATTAAAACCAAGGAGACAGCAGGTCAATGCCTTGGGAAACACATTAAAATCTTTAAAAATACATTTTATTAATGTGCATGCGTGTGTCCGTGTGTGTCCGTGTGTGTGTGTGTGTGTCTACAAATGTGCCATGTGCTTCTGGAGATCAGAGCACAACTTGTAGGAGTTGGTTCTCTCCTTGCATCATAGGGGTCCCAGAGACTGAACTCAGGTAGTCAGGCTTGGTGGCAAGTATCTTTACCTACTGCTGAGCCATCTCACCAGCCAGAAAAACACATCTTAACCCAGTGAGGCAAGGGGAAAGAAGAGGAAATTAGGTAAGGAAAGAATCAGTAACTAGAGGTCCTGTGGAAAGGAATGGGACCATGCTATGAAATTGAGTGGTCAGTACACATGTAATCATGACATCATGGTGTGCTGGATCAGGTGTGCCCAACCTGTTGACATTGCAACAGATGTCATATATGAAGTTCATGTTCAAAAACTGCCCAATCAAGTTACAAAAAAAAAAAATAGAAAAAAGCTCAATGTAGTAAGTTTTTAAAAAATTTATGTGTATGTGTATACACCTGCTTATCTGTATGCACACCATATATATGTAGTGCCCATAGAGGCCAAACTAGGTACTGGATCCCCTGAAACTGGAGCTACCGGCAGTTGTGAGATGCCAGACACAGTGCTACAAACTGTAGTCCAGTCTCTGCAAGCATAGTTAGTGCTCTTAACCACTGGGTCCACTTTCCAGCCCCTTAAGTTTCTGTTAGGCCTCATGTATCACTATCTGGGGCCACAAGTTAAACACACCTGCTTGAAAATATCTTAGTTACTCTAATCTTGGCATATTCCATTTTAAAGGGACAGGAGAGATTAAGTTTAGGACAAACCATTCTTTACTGCTAGTCCCAAGTACACAGTCATTAAGTGACTGACATGTCTACACAATCTGACCCAAAGGTTAAGGTAGTAAAGGGACAGATGCAATACAAAGGCAGAGATACCCTGTTTCAGTCACCTGCATGTGCCTAAGTGAAGAATAAAGGCTTTAGACAAAAGTGCCTTCAAGTCCCTGAAAAGTAACCTGGAAGACTATCATTACCCATATGGCCTGTATACACACAAACATGTACACACATACATACACATTAAAAATGAATAAGCAGCAGGGCATGGTGGCACATGTCTTTAATCCCAGCACTTGGGAGGCAGAGGCAGGTGGATCTCTGTGAGATCAAGGCCTGCTCTACATAGGAAGTTCCAGGATAGCTGGGGCTACAGGGAGACCCTGTCTCAAAAAAAAAAAAGAAGAAGAAGAAGAAGAAGAGGAGGAGGAGGAGGAGGAGGAAGAGGAAGAGGAGGAGGAGGAGGAGAAGAAGGAGAAGGAGAAATAAATGGGGTTTGGAGAGATGGCTCAGTAGTTAAAATAACTGCCACATAAGTATGAGGACCCAAGTTCAGATTCCAAAACCCCATGTAAATGCCAAGTGGGCATGGTGCTGCCTATAATTTTAGCTGGCAAGGCTAGCCCTATCGGCCAGCCCTGGGTTTGACTGAGACCCTGTCCCAAATAAGGAAGGAGAACAATCAAGGATAATTCCTGACATCAACCTTTGGCCTCCACATGCATGTGCACACAAACTCATGTGCCCACACATATGCAAAACATGCATACACACACCTGTACACCACAGACACAGACACAGGCAGACACAGACACACACAGACACACACACACACAAAGATGAAAAAAGAAAAGTAAATAAATAGTAAAAAAAAAATTAAAATGACATTTTTCAACCTGTGGAACTGTATAGTAAATGCTATACACTGTACTATGTATAAATCATACTTCACTTAAAAGAATAAAAACCAGAGCCTGGGGAGATGGCCCAGGACTTACAAGCACTTGCTGTTCTTGCAAATGACCCAAATTTGGTTCCTAGCACCCCCATTAAGTGGTTCACAAGCACTTGTAACTCCAGTTCCAGGGGATCCGATGGCTCTGACCTTAGGCACCTGAACACATGTGGTTCACATAAACTCATGCAGGCATAATTGCATACACATAATAAATAAATCTTTTAAATATTTTTCAAAAGGATAAAAACATGTTAGATCTTTTATCAAATGCTAAGTGGGATGCTTCAATAATGAAAAACAGGTGAGAAACCCATCAAAGACCTCTCAAAATGAAGACTGCGTTCCTGCCTCTGTAAGTTCAGAATGATAAACTAGCATCATTATAATGCCATCATTTCTAGGTGGGCCAGATGGTTCTGTAGGAAAGGTGCTTGCCACTGAGCCTGATGACCTGCGTTCCATCCTTGGGAATCACATGGGGGAAGGAGAGAACCCACTCCTGCAAGTTGTCCTGACTTCTGTTGCCTGCTGCCACACCACCATGCTCAGCTTTACATCATGGGCTCTGGGGAATCAAACTCATGTCCTCATGCTTGTGCACCAAGCACTTTACCTGCTGTACCAATTCCCTAGCCCCAGATCTCAATGTTTTTTAAATTAAACGATGGTAATAAGCCCTCGTGGTAAGGGTATTCACACCTGTCACTGACAAACCTTCAGGCAGGCTGATGACAAGGTTCAGAACATGAGCTTACCTTACTTCTGGACTGCAGAGGGATTGTTTTTCTTGGTTTGGTTCGGGTTTTTTTGTTTTTTTTTAAGCATAATATGGCTATGTAGCCCAGGCTGGCCTAGAGCTTGCTAGGTAGCCAAGGATGACTTTGAAATCATGATTGTCCTAGCTCTACGTCCCAAGTGCTGATTAGGAGTAACCTAATTTTATATATTTAGAAGATTATTATCAACATCATAGCCAGCTTTTTCTTTTTCAAAACACAAATAAAATGGTGACTCTGATGTCTCATACCTTGTTTGAGAAATACTATAAATTCCTTCACAGTTTGGTCCAAATTAATTCCATGGTACACAACAGGTTTAAAATTGCGATGCTCAAACGAACGGATGAGGCGAACTGTGATGGTCACTTCCTTGGCAGCCATGTGGAGAAATGCCTGTGGTAAGACATATGAGTAATGTCGTTAAAGATCTATGAACGTATGAAGAATTGGGAGTTCAGTTCCCCAGCACGCATGTAAAAAGCCAGGCAGGCGTGGTAGCCTAGAATCCCACACATGGGAGGCAGAGAAAGGGGATCCCTGGGCAAGCAGGCTAGACTAGCCAGAACTGGAGAGCTCTGCCTCCACTATAAAGTGGAAAGTGATCTCAGAAGACACCCAAAGTCATACTCAGCCTCCACATACATGCACAGACGCCTAAGTGTACCCAGATACATATACCACACACAAAAAGTTAAAATAAAATCAAAGTAAATATATAAAAGTTATTTCTTAGGCTTCAATTATATTGGCAAAATTCTATGCCTTAAGCAAGATGTTAAATATAAGGACAGTATGTTGTTTTTATGCCTTTTTGTCTGTCTGCAATGTTTCCTAGCACACACAAACAAGTCACATTATTTTGGCTTAGAGAGTCCAGCTAATTTACTACTAGTTTTAGAAAACAAATAGCACATCAAGCATGGAAAGCCAAAGACTCTGCTGTTGGAATGCATCAAATAATTTATAATTATAATTAACATATTAGTTATAATTAAATGGCTTCAATAAAACTTGAAAATAGACTTTCCTCCAACATACAGTAAGGATTCACCTTATACTCTTGATGCGTAGCTAATAAGCTTAATAAATCTTTTGATAATTGCAATATTGGCTATTACAGCATTTCTCATCAACTCTGCTTTATAAGTCTCCTCAGAAAAAAATCTACCAAACAATGGATGGTCAACAAACATCTACAATCTAAAACTTTTCCATGTACTGAGGCATTTAATAAAGAGCATCTACTGAGAATGAGAACTGTTATAGAAGCAGCATCAGAACTGGGGTTGATGGCTCAGAAGGTAAAGCACTTGCTGTGCAAATATGAGGACCTGAGTTCAAATCCCCAGGATCCACACAAATGCCAGGCAGCATGTCACCCCTCTCAGTCTCAGGAGGTGGAGGTGGGATTGCTGGACCAAATGACTAGCTAGCCTAGCCAACTTGTCACGATGATGACAGTTAGCCTGGGTACTTTTCAGAGACTTGAAGGCCCATTTGTCCAAAGTCCTAAATTCACTTGGGCCCATGCAGGTGTTCTATGCAGGGTGACAGAGCCAGGCATCTCTTTGGTGTTGAGTCTGTCCCTTCGCTAGTCTGACCTTTGGGTAAGACTGCTTCTACTCTACATGTCAATTACTTATGTGACCTTTGTCCACAGTAGATAGAGTGATTGATTTGAAACTTCAATCTCTCTTAGTCCCCTCAAAGCTGAGATGCCAAGGTAAGAGTAACGAAGATATTTTTAGCATTTCTGAGGCACTGTGATGAACAGACCACCACCACTGAATTTCACAACCTGGTCCCCATCCAATCCATAGAGAGGCATCTAGAAGTCTGTCACCAAACCCTTTCTAATCTAAACCCCACTTCTTTCCCGAGCCTATGGTAGAAGGAGCTTGTTCTTCAGCTTGAACTGAGGTAAGATGGCTATTTTAGGGTACTAACCCACTCTTTTCTTGATTTTCCTGGCATTGTGAATTTGTATTGTTTTGTGCTACATTTTTGGTTGAGACAGGGTCTCACTTAGCTCATGACTGGCCTTGAACTCATTCTATAGCCAAGAATGATCTTGAACTCCAAATCTTCCTGCTTCCACCTCCTGGTGCACCATACCTGGTTTATGCTGAGGACTGAACCTAGGTCTTTGTGCCTGTTAGGCAAGAACCATCCCAAGTGAGTCACATCCCCAGTTCTGGCATTCTGAGTCTTTTTTTCTTTGCCCAAAGAGTAATTGATTTACTGAACCTCTTTTTTGGTGAGTACATGGACTTGGATTTGCTAGCAAAGTTAATGAAGAAAATTTACTTAATAAATTGGCATTTAGAAAACTGATCAGGCATTTGGACAAAAGTAATGCTGGCTTCTTATCCCACTCGTTATACAAAATAAGAAATATTTAAACTAAACTCATATCTCTGTACCACAAAAATGGGTACATACTTTTATAATTTTTTAATATTTTATTATTTTTATGTGTATAAGTGTGTTGCCTGCATGTGTGTTAGTTCACCATGTTGTCAAAAATATAGAGGAACCTATATTTTAAAAAATATTTATTTTTATTTTATGTGTATGAATGTTATGCCTGCATGTGTGTTAGTTCACTGTGTTGTACAGTGCTCTGGGAGGACAGAAGAGGGTGTCTAATCCCCTAAAACTAGAGTTGCTGATGGTTGTTAGCTGCCATGTAGATGCTGGGATTTGAACCCAGGTCTTTTACAAGAACAGCCAGTGCTCTTAACTGCTGAGCCAGCTCTCCAGTCCTGGAAGCTATATTTTTATGTTGTTGATAAGAACACAAAATGGCACAGTCTTCCTGGAGGTGAGAAAGGAAATCTATGAAAATTTTTCAGTTTTTTAATTTACCCTCTGGCAGTGGGCAAAGAGGTACTTCATTGGTGGTGGTGTTCTTAAAAACCTGGCTCAGAGGCAGGCGATCTCTGTGAATTCAAGGCCAGGCAGGTCTACATAGTGAGTTCCAGTGTTGTACCTCATCCACTGGACCCCAAAAAGACCACCAAGGACCCAACACACCAAAATGCAAAAGCAAAGGTTTATGTTTTATTTGGGCTTAAGCTCGGGCTCTCAGACCTCACCAACTCAACAGATCCGTGCTGAGAGCCCAGAATAAGGGAGAGTGGAGCCTTTTATAGGTTTTAGACAATGGGGGGAGATACCAAAGATACATTTTGATTGGTTCAAGGAGCCCGTGTGTGCCAACATAATTTTAAACCGATTGGATGTCATTCGATGAGGCCTCACCAGGTCATGATGTACGGGATCTGGTCCTGGTGGCCCGTCCATGGGTGGAAGACGTGGTCCTCTACCCTGGAAATCAAACTCAGGTTAAAAATCCCTTCAGGGGGCCATCCAACATT